CATATACCACATTTTATTAATCCACTCATGTATTGATGGACACTTGGGTTGATTCCACATCTTTGCAATTGTGAATTGTGCTGCTATAAACATTTGAGTGCAGGTGTCTTTTTTATAGAGTGTCTTTTGTTCTTTTGGGTAGATGCCCAGTAATGGGATTGCTGGATCAAATGGTATAAAACAGGTAAATTCTTATTGACGGCAACTGAACGGTGTTTGTAGCTTTTTTTTCATACAGTAGATTCCATCCATTCACTATACTTTTCTAGCTGAGTTGTCCTACATGCAAGTACATACTTTTAATATTGTCTGTCTTCTGTGCTGTTCCTGTAAGTTTGCTATTAAAATACATTAAACTATAAAAAAATAAATAAATGAAATGATATTAGTATTATAAAATTAAAATAAATGGATTCTCAAAAGAGTTATATTTCATGGAGAACAATTTTGATCTCATGAATTTTAGAAGATTATAGATAAAAAGATGAGTCAAGGCTTTTATTTTTAAAGCACCTTCAAGGTTTTCCTCTTTGACATTCATGCCTCTTTATGAATATAATCACAAAGATATAGTACGCAATATATTTGTGGAACTATTTCTTGATTAAATTCCTAAAGATTCTCTCAAACTGATATTGTTCTTCTCACCAAAATAATATGGTCTATCAATTTCAGATTCTTTAAAGTATTTCAAAATCTTGATAAAACTAGTATAGAAACATTAGATGTCTTCTCCCAGAAACAGGGAGAAATTATCCTTCATTTAATTACCTAAATTTGTGTGAAGGTTTAGAAAATCATATTCTTTTGCTATGTAGTTTTTCTCAAAGCATATGATATTCTCTGAGTAGTAAAGCTTGACTGTGAGTCCAAAGATTTGAGACATTGCATTGCAGAGCACTCCCAGAACAGAAATATTGGAATCAAAGACTGCAGCTTACTGTAGCTATTCAGTCCTGCAGTCAATAACAAAAGAAAAACAAAAAAAAAGTGTATATCAAACATATCCAGAAATTAAACTATAAATTAATCCTTGGGCTACAGAGAAAATCAGGAAGGAATTAAGAAGGGATCTCAATTATTTAGAATTAAATGATATTGAAGGCACTACATGCCAGATCTTATGGTATGTTAAAACAGTACTTAGAAGGAAATTTATAGGCTTGCACATTCTTCAGGAAATTAATTAACCAATTGGTCAATTCAAGAAGCTAAACAAAGAACAATGGCACAAAGCTAAAGAAATAAGAAGAAAAAATTGAGGAACAGGAATCTGAAATGATTAATAATGTCACAAGCTTTGAAAATATTAAGACAAACTTCAGGCAAAGGTAATAAAGAAAAAAGATAAATTTAAATTTAATATCAAAAGTGGTAAATAATTGTTGATTTAACATAGATAAAAATTAGAAACAACTATTGAGTAATTTTATGCTAATAAATTTGAAAGACGATTAAATAAATGGTTGTATTTTTACACAAATAGAGAAATGCCAATATTGGCATAAGAAGAAACCAATTTAAAAAATGGAATTCATAAACAACAACAACTAAAAATGAACACTAGGCCTAGATGGGTTTGCAGGAGTGATATCAATAAGTCAGTGAATAAGGAATACTACCCGACTTTTTTTTTAAACAAATCATTTTAGAAAGTAGGAAAGAAGGAAAGAAGCTTACTTCATTTTATGAGACCAATTTATAATCTTGTTACCCATACAATATACAGAACGTTTTTTAAAAAGTCAATTGCACTTATGAACACAGACGAAAAACTACAAAAAATTAGCAATAAAGAGTATTGGAAATATATTATGATGTGATTCAAGAGCAAGTTTTGGGAGTTTAGTTACATTTGATCCCACCTTATAAATTTAACTAATTGGACAATCTCTCAATTCTCTCTAGACCCTGGGATTTACAGACTTACAGATCTTATTGGAAGGGTCTCCTTTTCATTGGAACAACATTAACCTTTAATGTGCATCGGTATTAAAGGTTGTCTGAGTAATGTAGTGTTTTCTTTCTATGAGACCAATGTTTAATGGTTTTTAGAAATGCTCTAATTGAAAGTTTCCTTAAATCCTTTTAAAATCGAAGTGCAATGGCAAAAGCTATCTAAATAAATGATGTCAGTTCAATACAATCAGGTTACAACTGTAACAGCCACCATTTAATAAACACTCACTCTCTTCCAGGCTTTGTGCCAAACACTTTACACACATCATTTCCTTTAATCCTCCTAGAACCCCTATGGAGGAAATCTTTTCCCACTCCTTCACAGATGAGAAAGTTGAAGACCGGAGATATAAGTAACTAGCTTAACCATTGGGTTGTACTCTTTCTTGCCTTCTATAATCTTCTTTGAACAAATAATACAAACATTAATAATTCATTTGCATTTGGTACTTCCAGTTTTGTTGTTTTGATTTTCCTGGTCTCTACCCTTTACTCTATCACTAAGAACTATTTACTCATGAGTTAAATTTAGATTGATTTCTCTTAACAGGAACAATACCTGACACTTACATGGCACTTATTAGTGCTAAACCCTGATCTGAACACTTATATTAACACACACACACA